CGTAACGCCACTTCGTGTAGGGCGCCTAGTGGACTGATGAGTACCACCCCGGCCCCTGCGCCTACCCTACTTGCAGCTCCGTCGACATGCACTTGCCAGCATTCCTCCCCGCCTGCTCCCCCATCAATCACCCCTTCAGCCAAGAAATCTGCCAATGCCTGAGCCTTGATGGCGGGACGGGGCGCATAGGTTATGTCAAACTCGCTGAGTTGCACGGCCCACTTTACCAGGCGCCCAGACACATCCATTGATCCTAGTACCGTCTTGAGAGGAAGATTTGTGAGCACCACAATGCGATGAGCCTGGAAGTAAGGTCGGAGTTTGTTAGCTGCCATTACGACCGCCAATGCCGCTTTCTCTATAGGCGCATAGCGCGTCTCATGACCCACCATGGTTCGGCTCACGTAATACACTGGTTTCTCCTCGTTCGTCAAGGGGTCCTTGGATATGAGGACTGCACTCACGGTAATTGCAGACACGGCTATGTACAGGTACAACACCTCCTTGGCCTTGGGCGCCGTCATCACCGTAGGCGCTGTGAGCAATCTCTTCAATTCTTCGAAAGCTTCATCACATTCGTTGGTCCACTTGAACTTGGTAGCTTTTTTCAATATCTTGAAGAAGGGGGCGCCCCGGTCAGAGGCTCTTGGGATGAAGCGCCCAAGCGCCGCCAATCTCCCCGTCAGGACTTGCACTTCCTTAGGCATTCGGGGGTGGCCCAGACTCATGATCGCCTCAACTTGCTTAGGATTAGCTTCGATTCCCCGCCTTGTTATCATGAATCCCAAGAATTTTCCTGCCTCGGCCAAGAACACACACTTCTTGGGATTAAGCCGCAACCGGAAGTGTCGCATTGTTTCGAAGGTTTCTCGTAAGTCCATGATGTGGTCCTGGCGCCTCTTGCTCTTCACAATCAAATCATCCACATATGCCTCCACATTCCTTCCTATTTGCTTGCGAAAAATCTGATTCACCATACGTTGATATGTTGCCCCGGCATTCTTCAAGCCAAACGCCATCACTCTGTAGCAGAAGTTCCCAAAGGGTGTCATGAAAGCTGTCTTCGCCACATCTTCCTTTGCCATAGGGATTTGATGGTAGCCCGAGAAACTGTCAAGGAAACTAAGCGCTTCGTGATAGGCGGTGGCATCTACAAGCAAGTCAATGCGTGGCATGGGGTATGCATCTGTGGGGCATGCTCGGTTAAGGTTGGTGAAGTCCACACACATCCTCCAATCCCCTGACGGTTTTGGGATGAACACCACGTTAGAAAGCCATGTGATGTATCTTGCTTCCTCTACAAATCCCGCTTCGAGCAATCTATCAACCTCTCGGCGGAGCGCCTCCTCCTTTTCTTGAGATAAGTTTCTGCGCTTTTGTTGCACGGGCTTTTTCCCTACTTCCACCGCAAGCTTGTGCACCGCCACGTCTGGAGAAATGCCGGGCATATCTTGGGCGCCCCACGCGAATAACTCCCCAAACTCCCTCAGTAGCTCGATCAGAGGCGCCTTCATCACTTCAGGGGCCTGTGCGGAAATTCGCACTTGTCTCTCTGGGCGCCCTTCGTCCAAGGCTACTACAAGCTCATCATCCAAGGCTTCCGCCCTAGGCGCCTCCTCAGGGCGGATGTCGATAGTGTTGACCCTGTGTTTGCGAACGCGGCACCTTGGGTCTTCTTCTCGGGCGTATCGTGGAACGTTTCTTCCCCTGGAAATGCCTATACCCTGGGGTGCTACAAACTTCAGTGTCTGGTGACAAGTGGACGCCACGCCATTGAATTGTGCTAATAGCGGACGACCAAGTATCACATTGTAGGGCGATGGGCAATCTACAATCCCAAACTCCACCGCATGCGTCACACAATGTGTCTCATCTCCAAGGGTCACTGGTAGGCGCACGCGCCCGATGACCTGGGCTGGCGCACCGGAAAACCCAATCAAAACCGAACTTGAGGGACGTACCAGTTCAGGCGCCAGTTGCATGCGCTCAAACGTGCTCTTGAAGAGGACATCCATTGAGCTGCCAGTGTCAACTAACATCCTTTTCACTTTACAACCTGCTATCACCCCATGTATCTCCAAAGCTTCTTCTGACGGGATCTGGCACGCCTCGTCCGGCTCTTGATTGAAGTTGATTTGCACCGCGGCCCTTGCTTCAATTGATGCGGATATCAGGCGCCTAGACCTTTCCAACTTCTCCCTCAAGTCTACAGTGCCGGTTATGGATTCGACCGTGAGCCTGATGCGCCTCGGCTCTCCCTCTTGGTCCACTTCAAACGGGGGGGGGGGGGGGGGGGGGGTATCATCGGCTCTTGTGGGGTCTTTGGCCTTTCGGGCGCCTCATGGGTCCCCGGGACTTCAGGCGCCTTTGAGCTCCTCGTGACTTCCGGCGCCTGCCTCGTCACATACGTCCGGTGGGTCCTGTCTTCCATCCTCCTCACAAAGTCATTGAGCATGCCCTTGTCGGCTAAAGTCTGCAATTCGGCCTTAAGTTGGTAGCAGTCGGCCGTGTAGTGCCCTTTGTCGCGATGAAAGTCGCAATACCTATCAAGGTTCTTCTCGTTTGGTTGGCCGCGCATGGGCCCCGGCCACCGTATGTGGTAGCCCCTATCCTTCACGTACTGTAGCACATTTTTTAGCGTATCATTATATTCCGTAAAATTGGCTGAGCTTCTCGGCATGGGGCGAGGCGCCTCAGGTCTTCTTTGCGGACCAAAATTCCCAGATGGCACCCGGGGCGCCTGCCTTGCCTCCAATTCATCTCCCCTTAGGCGCCTCTTTTCTGCTCTCCGCGCCGCCAACGTCTCCTCCAACATGATAACCTTCTGCACTCTTTGGTCCAGATCTTCTGTGGACACCACATCCCACTTAGAAAGGACTCGGCAGAGTTCTTCGCTCGAGGTACAAGCGTCCAAGCACACCCCCAATACCGCCGGTTGGACATCCTTGACCGCCATGGCTACAGAGATCCACCGGTCGTAAAACTCTCTAAGCGCCTCCCCCTCCCTCTGCTTCACCTTGAACAATGCGCCTATGGTTAGTGTCCGACGCTTCCGACTTGCGAATTTTGACAAGAATAGCTCCGCAAACTGCTCAAAACATTCTATGCGCCCCTCTTCGATTTGATGGTACCAATCCAATACTACGCCCGCAAACGTGGATGGGAACACCTTGCATAACGTGGCGTCTGAGCTGTTGTAAAGTTGCATCTTCGTGAAGTAGCTGTTCAAATGATCTTCTGGGTCCGCCACCCCGTCGTAACTGGGTAACGGGGGAATTGTGGTTCCCGCCGGCTCCACGAGGATGCTTCGTGCCAATGGCTGTCGGACTCCGAACCGCTTGGCGATTCTTCTAGGCGCCCACAAGTCTTCTGGCTCTGCCTGGGTATGCTCAGTAGGCATTCTCCAGGCGCGTGAACGCCTTGGTACATCATGTCCTTGATCAGCTTGATACGGGAGCCCGTGCTGCAATGACTCCGAATCCTCCCCCATCCTTTCTCGCTTCCTAGCTCCTGGGCTATACATCATCACGTCCTCACTTCGCTCCCCATCCAACTCCCTTCTGAGCGCCGCAATGGCCCGATCTTGGTCGGCTATTATTCGAAATAGCTCTCTCTTCGTCAAAGATTCCCCTTCGTCCGCCGATAGGCGCCCAGGGCTCGCTTCCCCTTCCACCTCCATGCTCAACTCCCGGCTCGGTTGCCGTTCGCCTTCCTCATGACTCGAATTGTCCAACCTCGAAACGTCCTCCCCATCGTTCGCAACGTTCAAGTTCTCCATGCGCCAATTGTTCGAGCCAAGTTCCCTTCGGACCCACCTCGCTTAACCCCGACCCTTTCGTACTCCTCTGGGGCGCCTGGATCCTACAAGGACAAGCGCCTAAAGGGCTTTGGAATGCCCGTTAGCACTCCAACGCTCAAGTTAGAACTGAGTCTAGAGAGAGAAGTGTAAAATCGGGTTTTAGTGTGAGAAGCCAACCTGCGTAAATGCTACCTACCGAGTACTATTTATACTCCTTGAGGACCCGACCAGGCTCCTGGAATCGTGCTCCACGTCAGCGCGTCATTAAATGCTTGGTCGGTCCAACGGTCATGTATTTACACGTGGCGGCTCCTGGATCTCGGCGCCCAGGCGCCCGGCAGGACCACCTTTCCAGGTGGCGTACTCTTGCCTTCCTGACTCCTAGGTCACATGGTCCCCGCATCTATTTTTGTCGTTACGCGCCCGCTTCTTCTCGACCGGGCCTTTCTTCAGCCCTATTGTTCATTTACACTCCTAATTGGGCTTGGGCCCACTTATACCCTCTGGGTTCATATCCCTCACTGACTTGGTCCATGTGCCTACATCCAACACTCCTAATTGGGCTTGAGCACCCTCGTACCTCCTGGGTTCATGTCCCCCACTGATTTGGTCCATGTGCCTATACCCAACAGAAGCCTTTTCGACAACTCGTTCAAATCTTGATTTGCGCTGGAGTTCAAACATTTTGGTTTGAGAAGCTCACCGATTTCTTATGTGAAATGGTTCTCTTTTTGCCAGAATTTTTTTTTATAAAAAAATATTGAAAATTGATCTCATTTTGTAGAGCACGATGAACTCGTTGCATCTGTGAAAAAAAATTAAAATTGATCTCATTTTGCTTCTCTGCAGGGTCGCTCACATTGAATGCCCCTTTTCATTGTACCAGTCTTTATATGTACTCTGCATATAGTTTTTGGTAATACAATTGCAACTGATTCAACGAAGAAAGAAAAAAAAGATATGAGCCGATTAAGAAAGCTAGTGAAAATAAAAATGATATTTAATTCTCCATCCTTAGATCGGGATTTTCTAAATGAAAGGTTCAGATTTGGTTATTGATGGGTGCATAACCCATGGTTATGCACCCTATCTTCAGTCGAGATCTTAAATGAACTGTCACGCAATCAATAAAGGTCACCCGACGGGAGCTTTGACCGGGTACCAATCCACCAACCGGCCCACAGGTTCCCTTTCATCTCCGTCACCGCGATCGGCCTGAACGCCTTCCACACCGCGCTGTTACACTTGAACCCGGATCCGAATGCAATCTGCCACACACGGTCCCCGATCGCCACCCTACTTTGGCCTCGCTGTACACCAGCTCGTACCACAGGGAGCTGCTCGACGTGCTCCCGAACCGATGCAACGTCATCCTCGATGGCTCCATGCCCCACTCGCTCAGCTGCAGGTTCTTCTGCACCTCGTCCAGGACCGCCCTCCCCCCGCCGTGGATGCAGAAGTGCTCGAACGCCAGCTTGAAGTCCGGTCTCCTGGGACAGTTGTACTTCCAATGCCCCACTTCCTTACAGTTGTGACAAGCATCACCTGGCTTGTGGACCGGGACCCTTGAAATTCTTGTTTGAATTCCCTTTACCAGATATCTTCTTTCCCTTTCCACCTGTAACAGCCAAACCCGATGCCTCATCACCTGTACCAGATCCGGGCGCCTTATGTCTGATCTCTCTCGTGTGAAGAGCCCTTGTTGTTTCAATAAAGCCTGCATCTTGATCTGTCATATAACGAAGTTATTCATCCCCGTGAACTTCTCGATCTTCATGTTCACCGACGTCATTCTTCAGAATCGAAACCCTAGCCTGATTTCTAGCCGCGGCTCTGATACCACTTGTTCTAAACGCGCTGCTACAGATCGAAAAATCGCCGGAATCGAGAAAGCAAGAATACGAAAGCGAGAATCGAAAATACGACACACGATTTACGTGGTTCACTAACACGATGTGTGTTAGCTAGTCCACATGCGAGAGAGAGCCAGTTTCACTATATCGAGGAGATTATATATTATGTTGATATGACTTGAATCGGACTATCAGCCGCTACGACTGGTAATCGGGGGTCTCGCTGTTATTTGGGTTCGGGTTCTAGGCCTGGTCTGTAACCGTTTCCTTTGCTAGATTGGATTAGGTTTAGACCCACATGGAGAAGTACTATAAATACTTCTCATACTCCTTTGTAATCGGTAATCTCCTCGATATAGTGAAATCGGCTCTCTCTCGCCCGTGGACGTAGCTAACACACATCGTGTTAGTGAACCACGTAAATCGTGTGTCGTGTTTTCGATTCTCGCTTTCGTATTCTTGCTTTGTCGATTCCGGCGATTTCCCGATCCGTAGCAGCGTGTTTATAACAAGTGGTATCAGAGCCGCGGCTGGAAATCAGGCTAGGGTTTTCAATTCAGAAGAATGACGTCGGTGAACATGAAGATCGAAAAGTTCACGGGGAAGAACAGCTTCGCTATATGGCAGATCAAGATGCAGGCTTTATTAAAACAGCAAGGGTTGTGGGGGCCGCTGTCTGCGAAACAGAAGAAGGCAGCGGTCGATGACGATGAGTGGAATACCCTGGAGGAGAAGGCCCACTCGACCATCATGCTATCGTTGTCTGATGACGTCATCATTGAAGTCGCTGCTGAGAAGACTGCTGCGGGCTTGTGGTTAAAGTTGGAGAGTCTCTATATGACGAAGTCCTTAACCAACAAGCTGCATCTCAAGCAACGGTTGTTCAGCTTGAGGATGCAGAAGGTACGCCTTTGAGGGAACATCTCGAACAGCTTAACTCTATTTTGCTGGATCTGCGTAATATAGATGTTCAAGTTGATGACGAGGATGCTGCCCTAATCCTGCTGGTTTCTTTGCCGAGTTCATATGAGAATTTCGTTGATTCTTTTATTTCCGGTAAAGAAAGCGTGTCTTTGGAGGATGTCAAGTCTGCTCTTCATACGAGAGAGATCAGACATAAGGCGTCCGGATCTGGTACAGGTGGTGAGGCATCGGGTTTGGCTGTTACAGGTGGAAAGGGAATGAAGAAATCTGGTAAAGGGAATTCGAGCAAGAATTCCAAGTGTCCCGGTCCACAGCCAGGTGATGCTTTTCACAACTGTAAGGAAGTGGGGCATTGGAAGTACAACTGTCCCAAGAGAAGAGGGCAACAGAAGAAACAAGGTTCAGTTGCCGTGGCAGAAGTGGACAACAGTTCTGAAGACGATCTCGCCTTGGCTGTAGATGAGAAGGCACATCGTGGTGATGTGTGGTTTCTGGATACTGCAGCCTCATACCATATGTCTCCGAACAGGGATTGCTTCACAACCTACGAGCAGATAGATGGTGGTAACGTGGTCATGGCTAATGGAGTTGTCTGCAAGTTTGTTGGAATCGGGTCCATAAAGGTTCGGACACATGATGGTTCGTTCTGTATCGTGAATGATGTCAGGCATGTTCCACGAATGACAAAGAACCTGATCTCCTTGAGTCTACTCGACAGCAAGGGTTTCAGTTTCAAAGGAAAAGGTGGAGTTGTGTATGTCTGCAAAGGTTCAAGGAAGGTGCTGAAGGGCGTGATGCGTGGGACCTTGTATGCATTACAAGGGTCTGTGTTGTCTGGTTCTGCTGCAGTTGCATCGTCTCAGGTTCAACAGGAAGATATGACCACTCTCTGGCACATGAGACTGGGGCATATGAGTGAACGGGGGATGCAAGTTCTATCGAAGAGGGATCTTCTTTGCGGGCACAAGGTGCAGAATTTGGAATTCTGTGAGCATTGTGTGTTTGGGAAGCTACATCGCAGCAAGTTTCCCAAGAAGGGTATCCACCGGACGAAGGGGATACTGGATTACCTCCACTCCGACTGTTGGGGTCCTTCACGAGTTGAATCCATTGGAGGCAGCAGGTATTTTCTGTCTATTATTGATGATTATTCGAGATTTACTTGGATTTTCATGATGAAGCAGAAAAGTGAGGCTTTCACGAAGTTCAAGCAGTGGAAGACATTGGTGGAGAATCAGACAGGGAAGAAGATCAAGAAGCTGCGAACGGACAATGGTCTGGAGTTCTGCAATTCTGAGTTCAACGAATTCTGCAAGGATGAAGGGATTGCCCGTCATCGGACTGTTAGAGATACACCCCAGCAGAATGGCGTTGCAGAAAGGATGAACCAGACATTGTTGGAGAGAGCACGGTGCATGCTCTCTAATGCTGGACTAGAGAGAAGATTCTGGGCAGAAGCAGTGAACATGGCGTGCTTCCTGATCAACCGTGGACCTCACACAGGTATCGAGTGTAAGACTCCTTATGAGGTGTGGTATGGTAAGCCTGCTGATTACTCTTCACTGAAAGTTTTTGGGTGTCCTGTTTATTATCATGTGGATGAGGGTAAGCTGAACCCAAGGGCAAAGAAGGGTGTATTTGTGGGTTATGGAGATGGAGTTAAGGGATTTCGAGTCTGGTCACCTTCTGAGCATCGAGTTATACTTAGTAGAAATGTGATATTTGATGAGAAGTCTATGTTTAACCCCATGTTGAAGGTTACTGTTGCTAAAGGTAGCAGGAATGTTGATAAGCAGGTGGAGCTGCAAACTCTCAATGAGAGTGAGTTTGAGCACCAAGGTGGAGAAGATCAACATGATGAGGATGTCTCTGCAGAGCCAGAAAGTTCAGAGTCTAGTGCACGAGCTAAACAGTCTATTGCTTCCGGTAGACCGAAGAGAGCGACTGCAGGAGTACCTCCACAGAGGTATGGCTTCGAGGACATGGTGGCGTATTCATTTCAGGTTGCTGAGGAAGTGGATGCAGGAGAGCCACAGTCCTATAGAGAAGCAGTTTCGGGTGGTGAAGCTGATCAGTGGCTTGCCGCAATGGGAGATGAGATGGAATCCCATGACAGGAATCAGACTTGGGAGCTAGTCAAACGACCACAGGGAAGGAAGATTGTTACAAACAAGTGGATCTACAAGAAGAAGGAAGGAATCACTTCTAAAGAGGGCATGAAATTTAAAGCTCAGGTGGTTGCACGAGGCTTCTCGCAGAGGGAAGGAGTTGACTACAATGAGATTTTCTCACCAGTGGTCAGACATACTTCGATCAGAGTGCTACTAGCAATAGTGGCACATTATGACTTGGAGCTCGAGCAGCTAGACGTGAAAACAACTTTTCTACATGGAGAGTTGGAGGAAGAAATTTACATGACTCAGCTAGAGGGATTCGAGGTTCCGGGAAAAGAAGACTATGTTTGTAAGCTGAAGAAGTCCTTGTATGGACTTAAGCAATCTCCGAGGCAGTGGTACAAGAGATTTGACAGTTACATGCTTGAGCTAGGCTACAACAGAAGTCCATATGATTGTTGTGTATATCACAGCAAGGCAGAGGATGGTTCGATAATATATCTAGTTCTGTATGTGGATGATATGCTCATAGCTGCGAGGTCGAAGTCTGATATCCAGAAGTTAAAGGGGCTTCTCAGTGCTGAGTTTGAGATGAAGGATTTGGGAGCTGCTCAGAAGATCTTGGGGATGGAGATTTACAGGGACAGGTCGAAGAAGAAGCTTTTCTTGTCACAAAAGAGCTACATCCAGAAGATATTGTCGAGGTTTGGCATGTCTTCAGCAAAGCCCTTAAATACTCCTAGTGCTTAAAATGTTCATCTATCATCAGCTTATGCACCGCAGTCAGAGGCTGAGAAGGAGTACATGTTGAGAGTCCCATATGCTAGTGCAGTAGGTAGCTTGATGTACGCTATGGTATGCACTAGACCTGATCTTGCACATGCTGTTAGTGTTGTCAGCAGGTTTATGATACAACCTGGGAAGGAGCATTGGCAGGCTGTGAAGAGGATCTTTTGGTACCTTAAGGGTACACCTGATGTGGGGATTAGCTTCGGAAGTGATACAGAGTGCTTGGTGTCTGGGTATTCTGACTCGGACTATGCTGGAGATGTTGACACGAGGAGATCGATGACCGGTTATGTATTCACTCTTGGGAGTTCTGTAGTGAGCTGGAAGGCAACTCTGCAGTCGGCGGTGACATTGTCTACTACTGAGGCAGAGTATATGGCGTTGACAGAAGCTGCTAAGGAGGGAATATGGTTGAAGGGACTGGTTGGTGATCTGGGTCTACATCATGATCAGGCAGTGGTGTATTGCGACAGTTTGAGTGCAATATGCTTGGCCAAGGATCAAGTCCACCATGAGAGGACTAAGCACATCGATGTGAGGTATCATTTCTTGAGGACAGAGAAGAGGATTAAGGTGAAGAAGGTTGGCACCGCGGATAATCCTGCTAATATGTTCACGAAGCCGGTTCCACATGGCAAGTTCCAACACTGCTTGGACTTGCTGAATGTCTTGAGTGGGTGACTCCGCCCTACGGGGCATTGATGGCTGGAGAGAGAGAAGGAGCAGAGTACATCAGAGATTTCAGAGGAAGAGGATTCAAGTCAAGGTGGAGATTTGTTGATATGGCTTGAATCGGACTATCAGCCCCTACGACTGGTAATCGGGGGTCTCGCTGATATTTGGGTTCTGGTTCTGGGCTTGGTCTGTAACCGTTTCCTTTGCTAGATTGGATTAGGTTTAGACCCACATGGAGAAGTACTATAAATACTTCTCATACTCCTCTGTAATCGGTAATCTCCTCGATATAGTGAAATCGGCTCTCTCTCTCCCGTGGACGTAGCTAACACACATCGTGTTAGTGAACCACGTAAATCGTGTGTCGTGTTTTCGATTCTCGCTTTCGTATTCTTGCTCTGTCGATTTCGGCGATTTCCCGATCCGTAGCAGCGCGTTTATAACAGATTATAGAGGAGATGAGAAGTATTTATACTTCTCCATGTGGGTCTAAATCTATTCCAATTTGGCAAAGGAAACGGTTACAGACCAGACGTTGAACCCGATCCCAAATAACATTGAGCCCATACACCACGACTATTCCAATCGTAACGGTTGATAGTCCGATTCAAGTCACATAAACAAATCTCCCCAGAATATCTACTCTCTAGATATCCATATCTTCTATTAGATGAAGATGGAGCTCATTAATGAAATATTTGGTTTTACTTCGCCTTCCATAAGAACTAACAAAATTTAATTATCGATGCTTTTCATTTGCGTTGGAGATCAAACATTTTGGTTTCAGAAGCTCACCGATTTCTTAAGTGAAAAGATTCTCTTTTTTTCAGCATATCTTATACTTTTAAAAAAAAATTCACACTTCCAAAAAAAATTGACGAATTTTATACACGAATATTTTGAATTTACGATCTTGCACTCCCACGAGGAGTTGTGTGACGAAAGGACATTAAGATATTGGGAGAAAAGCTGCAACTAGGAAACAATTAATTAATAAAGTAGGCAGCCTGCTGAGGAGATCTTAAATGAACTGCCACGCAATCAATAAAGGTCACCCGGCGGGAACTTTGACCGGGTACCGATCCACCGACCCGGCCCATGGGTTCCCTTTCATCTCCGTCACCGCGATCGGCCTCAACGCCTTCCACACCGCGCTGTTACACTTGAACCCGGACCCGAAAGCAATCTGCCACACCCGGTCCCCGACCGCCACCCTACCTTTGGCCTCGCTGTACGCCAGCTCGTACCACAGCGAGCTGCTGGACGTGTTCCCGAACCGATGCAACGTCATCCTGGACGGCTCCATGTGCCACTCGCTGAGCTGCAGGTTCTTCTGCACCTCGTCCAGCACCGCCCTCCCCCCGGCGTGGATGCAGAAGTGCTCGAACGCCAGCTTGAAGTCCGGGATGTACGGCTTCACCCGCGCGTGGAGCACCTTCCGCCTGACGAGCGTGAGGAAGAACATCAGCTGCTCGCTCAGCGGCAGGACCAACGGTCCCAGCGTCGTGATGTTGGTCTTCAGCGCGTCCCCCGCCACCGCCATCAGCTCACGCGCCAACGACACCCCGACCGTCCCGGTCTCGTCCTCCTTCTGGTACACGCAGTTGTAGTTCCTGTCGTCCGCGCCCTTGTGTGTCCGCACGGTGCGCACCAGCTGGTACTTGGCGCGTGACCTGTCACGAGGCCTGTTGGACAGCAGGACGGCCGCCCCGCCCATGCGGAAGATGCAGTTACACAGCAACATGGAGCGGTCGTTCCCGAAGTACCAGTTGAGGGTGATGTTCTCGGTGCTCAAAACGACGGCGTACGTGTTGGGGTTGGCCTTGAGAAGGTCTTGGGCCAGTGCGATGGATATGAGCCCAGCGCTGCAGCCCATCCCGCCCAGGTTGTAGCTCTTGATGTCGGTGCGGAGCTTGTAGTGGTTGACGATCATGGCCGAGAGGGAAGGGGTGGGATTGAATAGGCTGCAGTTCACGATAAGGATGCCTACGTCCTTGGGGCTGACGCCGGTCTTGTCGAAGAGGGCGTCCAGGGCGCCGAACATGACGTCCTCGGCTTCCTTCCGAGCCTCGGCCATGCAGAGGTTGGGAGGGCGGGAGGTGATGCCACGTGGGAGGTACGTCTCGTCGCCGAGGCCGGAGCGCTGGGCGATGCGGGTCTGGAAGTTGAGAGTCTCGTCCTGGAAGCTGCCGCTCTCCTGGGACATCTGGAGGAAGGAGTCGTTGGAGATCTTCCTGTCGTCGTGGGGCTTGTAGCAGGCGAAGTCGAGGAGGTAGATGGGCCTGGAGCGTTTGGCCCAGTAGAGGCCCATGAGGAAGAGGAGGACGGCTGAGCCCGCCAGGGTGGTGGCCTCGTCGACGTCCTGGAGCTGGAGGGAGCGGGTGGACCAGACCTGGTGGAGGCGGTGGAGTTCGAGGCCGGTGAACTGGTGGAGCGTGGCGAGGAAGAGCGGGACGATGAGGAGGAAGGAGGCCGGGCTGCGGGAGTAGCCGCCGTAGCCGAGCTTGACGTACTTGAGCTTGACGGACTGGAGGAAGTCGGGCAGGCGTTGGCGGATTTTGATGACGGCGGAGGTGGAGTCTTTGAACGCCATCTCCGCCGTCAGCCTCTCCTCGTTCATGTCGATGCTACCGGAGGATGATCTTCCCTCCATAGCTTTGTGTTTTCTTTCTTTGGTGGTGTTGGGCTTTGGGAGCGGAAATGTTAGGTTATAAACAAGAGGGAAAGTGGGAAGAGAGAGAGGCGATTGAGAAGCTGGACATAAATAAATAAATAAATAGGTCCAGGCGAGGGAGGGAAGAAACAGAGAAGTGGGGGAGATGATAATAATCAGATTGTGGGCGGTGGATGGTGTGAAAACCACAAGAAACAAACTGAAAGAGAAAGGGTGGGTGGGTGGGTGGGTGGGTGGGTACTACAAGTTTGGAAGCGGTTGGATGGTGTATCTGTATCTGTAATGTATGATAAAGGAGGAGAGAGAGGGAGAGAGAGGGACAATTAAATGGTGGGAGGGAGTGGTTGCGGAAGTCCTCAAGAATGGGGAAGGAAGGAGTTGGGAGAATAGGAAAGGAGAATGCTTTACTAATAACTGCAAGTTATATGCCCTCATAATACTACGAAATGTTGTGAGTACGTTCTCATATACGCTCCGTGGCGTTGGAGTGATGGTGGTGTTGAATGGATTATTGGGTATTTTATTTTATTTGTTTGTTTGTTATAATAATAAATGGCGGGTAGTTGCAAGGAAGGCAGGCATGGATCGTTCAACTACCTTGGGATTAGCCTACCAATATTATGGTGACTTATGTTGTTGGTGATTTTGTTCATCTTCCCATATGCAGATTGGGTGGCTAGGTTTGTCTAGATTGAATTCTCCACTTCTTAGTTCGGCAATAAGTTTTGACAATGGTTTAACACTAATGTGGACGGCCACGTGAGGTTTCGTTCAAGCAAGCTCTCAACTTTTTATATGTAGCTGATATAATTTTATTTGTTTATCAAGTGTTATTTAAGGGTTGAAAGAAACCTAAAACCTTCAGATTGAGAATTAGTGAGCAGTCATTGTAGATAACCCATTTATATAGTATGGTTTATTCTATGGTATCTATTCTGCCTAATCTTTTGTATGAAAAAATTTGACCTTTAAAGCAAGTGTTTGTTGTATTTTTTTTTTTTTTGACAAAAGTTAATCACTAGATTGAAATCACTAGATCTTTACATCCTGGAATACAGCCAGGCCTGGAAGTCAAACAATCGATATGTAGTCGGGAACAAAGACAGGGTCTTTCTAGCTACCAAGTGAGCTACCCTATTGTTTCGTCGACCTACATATCGAACAGTGAACCCTATGTTTGAAGCAAACAAATTGACTATCTCTTCCAGAATCGCCCCTATCTGATTATCCCGAACATCTCGTCGGAGAATCTTCTCAATTACCACTGGGCATCACCTTCAACCCTCATGCCAGTGAATCCATTAGCCAAACACCAGCCAATCGCTTCCCGGAGGACCAGAGCTTCCACCATCATTGGATCCCCAAGGGACGGGAACTGCACCCCCTTCGCAAGGATGACCGCTCTCTCAGAATTGAGGATAACCATCCCCCCTGCCGCGTGAGAACCCACCCTCACAGCCCCATCCCACATACAAACTGCAGTGTCAATGCCATCCGCAACTACGGTAGGGGCCGGGGGGCGCGCCTGTTGACCGGTCAAGTTTCGGGGTACGCTAATCCATTCCTGAACTTGTTGGTGGAATTGCCGCATCATAGCAGGGATCCCGAACTGTTTTCCTTCAAAGATCACCCAGTTACGGGATCGCCAAATCCGCCACAGAACAGCTACTACAGCCATTACCAAAGCAGGGGTATGTATCACAGCCAGCAACTGCTTTAGAAAAAGCGGAAAAGTATGGCGAGGCAAACCTTCACCCAGGTAGGCTAGCCCAGAATGATCCCACAATGCACGAGCCACCGGACACTCAAAGAACATGTGCTCCAGAGTTTTCGATGGCCCCCAACACACCGGACATCGAGGCAAAACGTCCACCTTCTTTTCATGCAACACTTCCGTAGTAGGCAGAATTCTATGAAAAATTTGCCAAACATACACCCTAAGCTTTGGAGGAATATCCGCCTCCCACAGCCTGATCCAACTTGGCCTATCCATACAACTAGCCAAAGCCCTCCAACGACCATTCTGACGATCCAGATTCACCGCGACGTAATACGCGGATTTAACTGAGAAAATGCCATCAGAAGTCGGATGCCAAATCAATTTATCCTCAATATTCTGGCGGGGTAAGGGGATGGTCATAATGGCATTACAAGTGACTGGATCAAACCATTGACTGAGTTTCTGCTCATCCCACCTTCCCTCCCCTTGGCAGATCACCTCCCCCACCTTCAAACCCGCACCATTAGGAACCACACACGGATTATAGACCGGGTGATGGGGATACTGCTGGGGAATCCAACTAGACGTTAGCAGAGGAGCCTGCTGACCATTCCCAATTTGCCATCGCAACCCTGCTTCCAACAATTGATGTCCAAAGAGAATACTTTGCCACCCCCAAGAGGGACGAGACCGGGCTTGAGCAGTAAGAAACGTCCCGTTGGGAAGTATTTCCCTTTATACACCCGGGCAATCAGAGACTGGGGTTCCTCAAGGATCCGCCAACCAATTTTAGCTAGCAATGCTTGGTTGAAATGCTCAAAGCGGCGAAACCCCATGCCACCTTCATGCTTGCTGGTACACAAATTCCTCCAAGAAATCCAACGAATCTTAGACTTACCATCTTCCACCCCCCACCAAAATCGGGCTATATGCTTATCAAGAAGGCGACACAAAGCCAGGGGCAGCTTAAAGCAAGACATAACATGCAGAGGCAGAGCTAAGGCCACTGATTTAATCAATGTTTCCTTAGCAGCCCACGACAATGTTTCCCTCTTCCACCCCTGCAATCTCGCCAGAAGTTTCTCCTCTATGTAACGGAAAGTAGCCATTTTCGACCTGGCTATCAGAGAGGGGAGGCCCAAATATTTATCTTGAACACCCACCGCCCCTACTCCTAAAATTTCCTCCAAGAAAACCTGATCGGCCACCGATATATTTTCACTAAAGCACACAGCCGATTTTTCTAGATTCACTCGTTGGCCACTCAACTCCTCGTACTCGTTAAGAACCTAGATCAAATTCTCACATTAGGAAGCCTCTAAGAAAGAGATAAGAATCATCGACAAAGAACAAATGTGAGATACGAGGCGCACGAGGGGCAACTTTAACCCCTTGTAATTTCCCTAGTGAGATGGCTTGACGAAGGAGAGCCGCAAATCCTTCTGTACAGATGACAAAAAGAAGGGGAGACAGCGGGTCGCCTTGTCTGAGACCTCGAGACGGGGAAAAAAACCCAGCTGGGGTCCCGTTCATAAGGACCGAGAAAGACGTAGATTGGAGGCATTCCTGAATCCATCCTCGCCAAACAGAGTTAAATCCTATTTTTTCCATTACCCCTAGGAGAAAGGGCCATTCGACTCTATCATAGGCCTTTTCCATATCAACCTTCAGAGCCATATATCCCTTCTTCCCACGGGTTTTGATTTTCAGGTAATGCATTAACTCATGCCCTAAGAGGATATTTTCCACAATTTGCCTCTCCCGAATAAACGCATTCTGGCCATCTGAAATGATCTGGGGCAAAATACTAGCGAGCCTTCCTGCCATAATTTTACTAATTGCCTTATACACGAATTGACAGAGGCTAATAGGCCGTAATTGCCTAATCGATTCAACTTGATCCACCTTGGGAATCAAAGTCAACCAAGTGTGATCAAAACTGCGGAGCATCCTACTTGTTTCAAAAAAAGAGCTCACCGCTTGAATCACCGATTCGCCAACTATACCCCAGAAAGCTTTGAAGAACTTTCCAGTAAAGCCATCTGAACCGGGCGCCTGCTTCGAACCCATCGAGAATATTGTATCCCTGATTTCCTTCGGGAGGACTTCCGCAGTCAGGCTTGCATTCATTTCCAGGGTAACACAAGCGTCTATTGGCAGACCGCCCACTCTCTCGTACATGTTATCAATCTGGTTTTCTGAGGTGAAAAGGGATCGGTAGAAATTACTGGCAATATCTGCCTTTCCATGCTCCTCCGTGATCCATTCCCCTTCGTCATTATACAACCCAGCAACAAAGTTTTGTTTACGACGAGCCCTTGTGACCATGTGGAAATATGCCGAGTTTTTATCCCCCTTCTTAAGCCATCTCACGCGGGATTTTTGTTGCCAATAACTTTCCTCGGCCTCCCACTGCCTATTCAACTCGGCTTCCACACGGTTCACCTCTTGCCAATCAATAGGATGGATGGCTTTAACCCGATCAATCTCGCCTTGCAAGGTATGAATATTACGCAAAGAATTTGTTGTACCAGCTATACTCCAATCATACAGAAAATGTCGGAGTTTCTTCAACTTCTCCCATAATTGGAACATAGGAGTACCAGGGACGTGCTCTTTCCAAACGTACTCCACCATAGCCTTAACTTCTGGATTATGCGCCCATCTTGCATCAAAGCGAAAGAGAGGGCGACACATCCGAGTATAGGGCTTGTCCGAGCAAAGGAGAGCTCTATGATCAGATCCCTGGTCCGTGAAGTGCTTAACAAGCGTCTCCGGATATCGATCAATCCAGCTTTGAGAACAGAGAGCTCTGTCAATTCTTGCACGGATACAGGCCGCCCCCATTCGTCTATTTGTCCAAGTAAAAAGGTCACCCTGAAAACCTGATAACACCCAGGCAGGGGTGTTGATTTCCAAACCGAGCTTGAACTCTCAAACTCTGAAGTTTCAGCAAAAGACTCCAATATGTGATGAATAAGAAGAGGTTTGATGGAATTCGATATGCAATCCTACACCTGGAGGAAGGCTCAACGAATATGATTCGATGCTCGCCCACGATCAAGGGGGTTTTGATCGATGCAAGAGCTCAATCGAGCTTGGTTTCTCGGCCAAACTCTCAACCAAAACAACAAGCAAGGCAACTTGGTTTTTGGGTTTTTCAATTGTTATTCCATAAAACTTGATGCAAACACAAACCCTACGTGCTGTTTTTATACAAGCTACCAACAATCCCAAACCAACAAGGAAGTTAAACTAA